TTAAATATTATGGGTACCATTATGTACACATAGCAAAACTCTTTTTTATAACCTAAACTAGTACATGATGATATTGTATTATTGTTTCTAATTACAAGTGTGGAATTTTTTTTAAAAAAATTGAGGAATTAGATATTTGATTTTGGCGTATTGTGAAAAAATTAATTAAAATTTGAATTTTTAATTGTTGTTATGATACTTTTGAGTCACATGAAATAACACGGATTATTTTTTAAAGCTGTGCTTAGGAGGGTAATTTAGTCAATATTTATTTATAGATGTCAAACTGCAATAAACGGGTCGTTGTAGTATAGTGGTAAGTATTCCCGCCTGTCACGCGGGTGACCCGGGTTCGATCCCCGGCAACGGCGATTTCCAATTTTTGCAAGATAAAATTAAACTGGACTTGGCCCACACATCTTCAGGTCCATTAAATTTTACAACAAATCCAGCAAGTAAGGATGAAACAGAAATTTAATATTGGGAATATTAGGCCCAATACCCTTTTTTTATAGGTGTTTTGATTAATACCCTTAAACTCTAATTCAACATTTTAATGAAGTATTAATTATGTCTTAAATTGGCACTTATGTGTCCAATAAATGATTGAGTAACAACTACTGTTCCAACCAGGCAATGCAATCCTCCATATTTTCTTTGATTCTTCAGAAATGCTTCCTTTGAAACTCACCAAACACTTCCTTTTCTGAACTCAACAGCTTCTCTTTTAAGTTGCTGTCCATGGCTATGGAGTTTTTTTGGAAAATCAACTCACTGGTATCATCAAATAAAATATGAGCACCCTGTATTATTCTGCATGAATGATAATCAACGAAACAAAAAAAACTTACATCTGCAAAGGCTGAACACACACGATCATAGAGGGACGAACAGAAGAATTGAAGTGACCACGTTGGGAGAGAGAGAGAGAGAGAGAGAGGTTAAGCACTTCCTTTCATGCTATTGTTATTTGGAAACTTTCAAGTGTAGTCTCCTTATATATAGACCTTTATATGTAAATTGGTTCAACTTTATGGGTTTTGAAAATTTCTTCTTCTGTCTTAAATTCTTGTTCATGTTGGAATTTTTTGAGTTTTGTTGGGAGTAAGTGCGTATTTGATGTTGGTTTTGTGGATT